ATTAATCCAAATTAATATTAATTTAAAACTAATTACAATTACTATTTAATTTGTTGAGTGAAGTAGATTCACGAGCGATCGCCAGCTATCGTAACCACAAGTAGTGGACAATAAAGAGTACACTTCGCTAACAATTAACAATTAACTTTATTACAAATATTAGTTATCACTTCGAAGAGTGAGAGAGAACTGCGAATAATACAGCGTGTGTGGGTGTCTTAAATACCCTGTGTGTGACATAAAGGTAATTACAATAATGAGTATATGATGTGTGCATATCGCATGCACATGAGGTGATGTATAGGCATAATGACTGGTGGGTGAGCTCATCGAAGTCATCATGATGTGTTAGTGGAAGTGTAGTCGGAGTGACTGGTATACATTCACGACAAATTTTTGTAATTTTATATTTGATTGTAAAGTATAAACAAATTAATATTTTGTGATTACTTATACGAAAATTACTGTTTCTATTTTGTTTGAATATTTAAATGTAAACTAACTTTAATTTTTTCTATTAATAAATGATTTAAATTGGAAAATTTTTGCAAACTTTATTGAAAGTATTTAATAATAATTAAGTTTTAATGAATTGATGTTTTTAAAATAGTATACAGTACAGCATTTTAAATTCTTATTAAATTGTAAATGGTGAATAAATATTGAAAACTACTTAACAATAACTTCAAACCTATGATTACATTTATACACCGGATTGATAACATAATTCATAATACATTAATTGACATTAATTATGTTAAGGATAAGAGGTTTATTGTAGGACAAAAGTTTCATAATCAATAAAGTTATATTTTCTTGAATATACTGTACAAGGTATATTCAAAATTGATAATAATATTGTATTAAAATTATTTTGTTTTAGACAATAAAAATTCATAGAAAAATGAATTGTCATTAGTTTTAAAAGTATTTAACAATGCATTGAATTCCTCAGTGTTTGCCGTAATTGTCTGCTTATCGACTGACCAGTAGTTGTAGTCCTTTAGTACTCGATCACTAGTCGGCCGATTGTCTGCCATTGACTGAAACATTTGTGCAATCATTTCGTGTAATTTCTTAAAATTGGCTGACAATGTGGTCAAACTGTATGTTTCCGAAGGATTATCACTACGAATATAATTTAACATTTAGCATTTTAACAACTATATTATGTAAAAAAATGTCATACATATTGAATAAATCAAACAAATGATATGAAATGACTGCCAGACTATAAATGTCTACTTTAGTGGTGTATCGGCTCTGAAACACTTCGGGTGCCATATATTGTGAGGTCCCGACACTTGACGTGTGGCTCATCGATACCATGTTGTGCTCAACGGCTACACCAAAATCACATAATTTTATAAACCGGTTATTATTAGTGTTGTTTACGATTAAAACATTTGCAGGTTTTAAGTCCCGGTGAATGACCGGTGGATTCAAGTCATGGATGTATTGCAGACATTGCAAGAGTTCCCGAAGTATTTCACACGAAATGAAATACTCGTATAAATTCATTGCTTCCGACGATTGTCTGCCAAATACTATGGCTTTGTCTTTGATTACAGTCGCGAGTGTTTGACAGCAATACTCCATATGAATGAACACATGTTTCCCTTCAGACCACGAGTTGTAATATTTAACCACAAAATCGGAGTTCATTTTTGATAATATTTTCACTTCTGTTATAACTTTTTGTTTCTTTTCTTCACTAAAATCTGTACAAAATTTTTAAAATATAATATTAATATTTTACAAATATTCATTAAATTTACCCCCAAATTGTACTCTTTTAACAGCATATATCTTATCATCCAATCTATGCTTTACTTTAAATGCTGTCCCAAAAGCACCTGAAGCTATGGCTGATATTTCAATAAAATGGGTTTTATATTTACTATCAATTGTTTGCTCTCTTGTAGTACTTATGCTATGATTAGCCGTTTGTTGTATTAATTCTTTGGATTCTATGTTATAATGATCATCACTTGTTATTTCTTGTAATTCATGATTATTTTTAATTTTGCTATCATTTGAAGTGAATATTATTTTCTCATTGACTTCTTGTAAATTAATTGTATTATAACTTATTTGGTATTCTATGTAAACGTCGATATAATTATTATAATTTGTTTCAATTAATTTTTGTTCGTCTGATATTTTATATATTTTATTGTTTATTAAAACACAAATAAATCGATTATTACCAAGACATGAATATATTTGTTGTATATCTTGGATGTGATGTTCAGATAGTATTTGTTTTGGAGTTTTTTCAAGTATTTTATTATATTTGCCGCAAAAATATAAACCATTTGTTGTCAGAAAATATGAACAAAATTCCGTGCAATTGATTGTTTTAACATTATTTATAGTTGATATCAATCGGGGTTTAATTATTTTATCATCGGTTATATTGTGTCCCAAATGATTATATCTATTGTCTCCCCAACTAAACACATGTCCATCGGATGTGATGGCAAATGAAGAGAAATTAGAACAATAAATGGATTGGATTTTATAATTAGTAGAAAATTGTATTTCAATTGGTTTATTATAAATTAATTTTAAAAAATTCTTTTCACGAGTAATTTGTCTAAATTCATTCACACCCCAGGTGTATACCCGGTTATCATTTGTGAGGGTCAGTGTATGAGATGAACCACAACTAATTTGTACGATATTTTTATTTTGTAAACATGTTATTATCTCTGGTTTGCTATGAAAAAAGTAAACAGTTCTACACCCAAACCTATAGATAATATTCATATCATTTACTGCTAACACAAAACCACTTCCATTGACAAAGTATTGTATGTTTTGATCACATAATTCTGGGATCAGTTTTGGTGATAGTATAGGTCTGTTGTGTCCAAAACCTAGACATGCATGGCCATTATTGCCAATGAGTGCCAGACTATAGACATCTATTAAGTGGTTATAATCGGTGCCAAACTGTGCTTCGGGTGCCATATATAGGGCCACATCTGCGGTGTGTTTAGCGATACTTTGATTGTATGCATCACTCAATGCTTTCACTTCTTTAGACAAACCGAAATCACATAACTTAATAAATCGGTGTCTATTCCAGAGAGTATTGTTTGCAATCAACACGTTATCGGGTTTGAGGTCTCTGTGAATGATATTATTTTTGTGTAAATACTCCACACTTTCGACCAATTGTTTGAATATTTCATATGAAATATAATATTCAAATTCAGTCATTATTTTCCCAAACAATTGTTTCTTAGATTTTAAAACTTGTGTTAAATTTCCGGTCAAACAATCCATTTGAATGTATAAACAGTTGCTTTCAAACCACGAATAGTGGTATTGAATGACATATTCTGAGCGTAATTTTGACAAGTTATCCGTTTCTCTCAAAACACTTTGTTTGGTTTCTTCATTCAAACCTTAAGATAAGTTAAATAGTAATGAAATAAAAATAATATTTTAATAATTACTAAAAGAAATATTACATTTTAATTGGCATTTTTTAATCGCATATTTGCTTCGATTGTGTTTATGCCTCACTTTAAACACATCACCGAAAGCACCGGAACCTAAACCTATCAACTGTTCAAACATTTCCCTGTAATTCGGTCTCCGATTGGTTTCTAATGGATTTAGATGAAGAAATTAAATAATTAATTACATATTTTTATATTTAATATTATATATATTTAATTTAGAATATATATTTTTACCATATTGAGATGTTTGACAACAATCATTATGTTTAGTGATAGAAATGGTTTTATATGTAATTTTGCGTTCATTATAAACGTATTCATTAAATGATGTATATTTAGTCTCATTGAATGTTTCGGAATAATTGTTATATTCATATACTTTGCCATCACTTATACCGAGAATAATTGGCAATGATGAGGGAACATGGTGATCTCGGAATAGAATACAATCATCAAACAATAAATTGCTTACCATGATCCTATTATTATTTTGATTTTCTAAATCATATTTGTAAACGTGTTTATCATGTGATGGCATAACTATAATTGTGCTTATAAAATGGATCTTGCATATAATTATCGTATTATTAACATATGGTAATAATTTTGGTGTATTTGGTGTCTGATTGCCAAACATTATTCCCCACATAAATACCTCTCCATTGGATGTAATGCCAAATGAATGCCCAAAAAAGCACATAATGTCCACAATTTTGTATTCAACGGGAAATTGTATTTCAATTGGTTTTTGTGTTTCCAATGATCGGTATTTAAATTGAAATACCCGTCCATCCGATGTCAGAGCCATAACTTGTCTTAAATCACATGATATTTTCTCAATACGTATATCATGTGAATTATCACTTGAATTACAAAATGATATTTCGTGTGGTTTTGTATAAGTTTCTACATTTTCTTCATTCAAACCCCAGCCAAACATTTGTTGATCGCTATTCAAAGCCAATACAAAATCTAATCCAATGATAAACTGTTGTATATTATTATAACTTAAGTGTTTTACTTCTTCGGGTGTATGTATGGGTCGGTTGTGTCCCAAACCCAACACTCCCTCACTATTACTGCCCAACCCATAGACCCGATCAGCAGTTGTCACAAACATAATGTTTTTCCCCTTTTCATCGCCGAAAACATGAAATAATTTTATTTCTTGTCTCAAATCGTCAGGAATTTTAGCACAAATTTCAAACTTATTTAAAATCTCAGACATTATTATTATTTGTTATAATAATTATATAAAATAAAACTATAATAATACAGTAGTAACTTCTTATTTAATTATTTGACTACTTTATTGTCAAAGTTATTTAAATATAATTATACACAAAGTTAAATGTTTTTCAAAGTATTAATTTATATTTACGGCAATAAATTAATAATTATAATATTAATTTATACAAATTGTAGTAGGCTAATTAGGTTTATTAAACAAAATTAATGTTTATCCCTTAAGTGCCCAAAGGAAATTATGAGGAGGGTTTAATAAAACTTTCATTACTATTTGACCCGAATATAACAAACACCAAAATGATAATTTTATATTCAATAAGATTATAAAAAATTATATTACCAAAAATCCCAAAACATAATTCACACATATATCGTATACAAAAAAGCGTGCAGGTAACTTAGTAATTTAATGTTAAACGCGGACGGCTAGTAACATATTAAAATGATATTTATTCAAATTGTAATGGTTATATTTTTTATTTGATTATTATATAGACTTAATATTACTCCAGTTAACTAAAACTATCAATATTAGAACTTTAATTCCATGTTAAAGTATAGCCATAGATTTAAGCTGGGATTCCATGGGCACAATGTGCACTGCACATTATGCAACTTTTTAACAGTACAGAGAGAGGGTTAATTTGAATAAATAGATGTAGACGGTTTAAATTCAATTAATTCAAATATAATTAAATATTGAAGCAAACCTGATATATTGAAGATTAATGTCAGTTAAAACAATATGGTATAATATATTATAACAAATTATAATAATAAAACAGGCGAATGGCCACAAACACCGAAGATATGACCATAGGTTTAACCATTTGCATACGCCTTATAATAATATAATTTTACTGAATGGCATTACTCATTTAAAAATACCATTTTCAATGCATTAAGCCATATGCAACTGGTTATAAATATGACCATAATACGGCGTTTGTGACAATTCGCATGTTTATGAATCTCCATACAATACTAGATATAATAGTATCAACCACGACTGGATCAGCTAGGTGATATTCGCATGCTTTCCTACTGATCAATAATTTGATACCATTTTGTCTATCGATGGTTAATATTGAATGATATGATAAACAAAATACTGATTACACAATCAGTATAACTGGTGTGGCAAACATGGTGTCCAACGGATGCCATCAAACCACACATTCAAACCGTTAATAATTGATATTTTTGGCAACAATTCAATGCTATTATTAAGACAATGTCGTTATATACAGGAAAACAGTTAGTTTTGTCAATTACAAGGTTAACAAATGAGCTGGGTTGAATTTTCAAATATGCCAATCATATTTGAATCATACTAAATCTGAATCTCTATTTGTTTGTGCCATTGGCACAGAAAAATTATTTAAGACTTAAACCTGAGTTTTGATTACATTCACTAGAAATTTATTAAAAATTATGATAAATATGTTATTAATTAAATCTATAGAAAGCCTATAATTTTAAGGATTGGTGTCGTTATTATGTCATCCAAATAATGTCAAAGCATTGTATTATTTATTGGTTTTTCAATCAAATTTTTATCCAAAATTATCTTCCAATGATTTGCCATTTTTTCATGTATTTTTAATTCAGTCATTGTTTTCTTAAAAAGATATGAATTTTCTTATCA